TGTGACTCGACCACTGCGGTGCAGGTGCACTTTAGAGACACAGGAACATGTAATGGCTAGCACTGTACTCCTGATGTAGCCTGTCTCCCTCAGGTTTCTTTTTTTCTGTTCTACTTTATTCCTCTTACAAAAGACTGCCTTATTACATCTGAATCTGCAACGAGACAGTAAACGCGCTCTCCTCCCAGCTGTTTCTTTCTCTGAACACTCTCATCCCACACACGCAGCAGATAGTCACTCCTCATCCTATTTTACTTTTCAATTATCCTTTGATCCCCAATCTTCTGTTCACTGTAACTATGCTAGCTTTCGCTCTCTGCTCGTCTTGTAATCATGCAGCCAGAGAACTTATCCCTCCACAACCACCCCCCCCCAATTCCTGGTCCTCCTCCACCCTCCCCAGTCTTTCTCGCTCTCTCTGTTTGGACAGTTTCTCCACCTGTTGCATGGTTTTCAAAAGAGGAACGCCGACGGGGGCTAATGCATGTGGTTATGTAGGAAATGTGCTCTCGAAACAAAACAAACATTTACAGCGTAGCACCGGTGAAGCATTGCCTCTGGCTCATCTCTGCCGTCGGTTAGCACTGGTCATTTGTTAAGTATTATAGGATCAGTTTCCAGTGGCATCAGAGACGACTCACAAAGAAATATAGTTTTTTTTTTAAAACACTATCCATCATTGCAATTTCGCTAATATTGTTACACTAATGCAAGTCTTAGTCTTAATACTTTAAGCAGGCCATCAATATTTAATTCAATGCCTGAGAGTAAGAAACGTTACAGTTGTGACATGAAAATAAGATTGTTGAATGAGTGCCTTTGCTTTTAATAGCGATGGCAGATTAGAGATTAGGTTGTTTTAGTTAAACTGTTCCCCCTATTCCTAAAACACAGTAATCTTCTGTGACTCGAAAATAGCAAAGCCAGAATTGACTCAGAAGATTTTCTTCCTCACTCAGTGGCTGGATTGTGGTGTGTGAGTATACTCAGAAGCCAGGCTCTAAAAAAACACCTTTCTTAGTCAGAATATATCATCTTTATGTTACCTGGCACCCAGCTGGTGCTGCTTTTTCTTAAGTCACAAAGACAACAGCTTTTCGTGCAGTTACAGTCTTTTCGTGCAGTTAGTTCTTTTCTTTTTACTTTTTTAAATCAAATAAAACATATTTTATGAGCCAATTAGTGACTAAACTACCCAGGCTTTTCCCACTGATAGCCTTGAAACAGCAAGAGCGTGTATATACATTTATGTTTGCTTTCAAAAGGAGATTCTTACTAAGTTGAACAGATATAACTCACATAAAAGCAAAGTTAAGATGAAGAATAACAAAACCACAGCCGGTTGTATCTTCCCAGTGCAAGCCATGCAGGCTATGAGCCAAAAGCAAAGTGCAGCTCGTGCTAACTTTAAAGGAGATTCCTCTGTCTGTCAGTAAATGTACAGTTACCTTTACATATATAAATATATATATATATGTATAAATATATCTTATGCAAACAGAGTTTGTCTGCACTGTACAGTTTGTGTCCAATCCATTGTATACACAATGAAAACAAAGATATTGAATAAAGGATTTATAGAAAGGAAGCGTGACTGGGCTGATTCATTGATTGATTTTAAATGCTTTGATTGATTTCTCACATTT